AGAGCTCATCCTTCAATTCCGCTCCTTTTATTTCAGACTAAGTGCCACCTCAAAAAGTCTCACAATTCTTTATTATGTTTCGAGCAAGACAGAAATGAAAGAACACAGAAAGCTGACATCACTTTCCTTTGAAAATTAAAATCAAAAGCTGGTGACAAATAAGCTTGTCGACGCCTTGATTTCCAAGAAAAAATTACAAAAGTTCATTTAACATTCGCTTTTATAAGCCACTTGTATCTAGCTATAAGATATATAACTGATTTGCGAAATTTGTCATTTTTACTTTCGAAGAGAGACAAACAAAAGTTTTGAAAACAAAAACTTTTTAACCTATTCTTTTCTTAGGGTACAAAACTCTGTAGGGCATTTAAATTGATTATGACTATGACAATTCCATTAAAACAAATTTCCATCCCAGAGCGATGAAAAAGATGATTTTTTTAAAAATAGTTTTATTTTCTCCCTATTTGAAAACTAATGTGTATTAGTGAGGGGTATTTTCATTTGGACTCGTCACCCCTCTTAAGATTGACACCTTTATTGCTGACGACGCTTGCATTTTTATCACCAATATCATTGCAATACATCTTCTCTTCTTTTAAATTAAAACTGATTATTTATAGTCAGGTGTGTCGTTTCAACAATCGATTAGGGGGGGGGGTGCCGATAGAAAACAAAGTTTACAAACGTGCAAAAATGTGGTCTTCATTTTTATAAAAAATTGTCGTCAAGGGTGGATAATGTCCAAAAAAATTACAAATTTGAAAACAATAATCATGGATTTGCTGATAAAAACACTAGATTCAGGAGTTTTCCCCTCCCACATTTAAAGCAACACCCCTATATCTCATTAATGAGAATTCGGATCAAAGTACGACTGCAATTGCTTTTATTTTAAGTAGAACAGCTCGCTTGTCACACAGAAGTGCATTTAATGACCTATCTGATTTATTAATGAATCTTTCCGCTTTACAATTTCATTTTAGGCAAATTACCCGCTGATATTTTGTCAAAATTGCAAAGGGAACATGCATTAGGGATTTAATTCATAATGATGAATAATCCAAAATGATATTTCCAGTTCAATAATCATAGAAAAGGTGAATTCTACTTTCTATCTGATTGTATGATTTTTCTTTCTGATAAAAGGGGAAGGCCGTTTATATTAATAACTTCTTCATAAATTAATTCATACTATTGATGAACAAATATAAAAAATAAAATAAAAATCAATACGATATAGATTTAGTAAACATCGATGGTGAATTACTTAGCGTTTTTCTGTTTCAACATTAAAGAACTAATTTGTGAAGCAGTCTGAATCGCTGCTGTTCGTGACAAAGCAATCAATTAATCACCAGCAATGATGCCGATACTATGTAATTGCAGCACTAATGCCCCATCATTCTTTTTCGTAAGTAGCTATTTGTTAATTTGATGGCATTTTGTATTTTACAAATCCGCTATCATGATCATAAGCTTATATCTGTTTTATTCAGTAATATTTCCATGCCATTGAGCGAGGTTTGCGTTTACACCACGCATAGTTGACCCTGACAAGTGCTGTATTGTTAGTCAAATGAGAAAGAAATTATCTTTGGTTGTCGTATGTCGTATAAAGCATTTCTTTGAAATCTTAATTTAGCAGGAACATTAACCTTTTTTGTGCTTCTTTTGTTTTCACGTGATAGAAGACGCCTGGTAATAAAATGAAAAACAAATAATCACCTCAAAGCCATCGTCAGAATCATGATCATCATCATCATTATGATCGTGGATAACCACAGCCTTTCTCTTCCGCATAATCGTATCTTGTCCACATCATCATTACAATTATCATCATCATCATCATCATCATCATCATCGTCATCATCATCATCATTATCATCATTATCATCATCATCATTATAATTATCATCATCAGCGCTCAAAATACACGGGGGCGGTGGGCGATTCGCCCCCGTGAGCTACATAATCGCCCCCGTCAGGTTGCTCACGGGGGCGATTGCAAAATTAAAAATCGCCCCCGTGGAATTATAAAATAAAGATTTTCTTTTCTGTTATAACTTTAACACAATATTGAATTTCAATTTTCAAATGAAATGGAACTTAGATTAGCGTGCAAGATTTCTTGTTTTATGAGTAGGCCTATTATTACCGATTCAGCTCACAGTGCAGTGCCGCCGTCAGCATTGGTTATAGGCCTACTGCGCCCTTAGTAGCGGTACGTGTCACGCTGCCGCGCTATGTCTGCTGGAGCTGGAGGCGATCGCGCAAGGGCAGAAACATGGTCATGGAGAAGTTTTTCGTTGTGAAAGCGTTAACCCGCTGAAATCTGGTGATTTCAAATGACTAGCAAATAATGAACCTCGACCAGTAAATCAATATTAGGGACCTTTAGATTTGCACGATGGGAACGTGGACTGAAACGTGTGACCTCCTTTTAAGGCAGTGCCAGTGCTTAAAAGGACGTGACATGTGACTGCCAGTGCCTTAAAAGGACGTAACACGTCCACGTCCACGCAAATCTAAAAGTCCCTATTGAGAAGAAGAGGAAGACCAAGATGTCGTGGAATGATATGATAACATGGGCAGATCTACGGGGGGGGGGGGAGGGGGTTAGGGGTTTAACCCCCTCCTCCCACCCCGGGCCCCCTTGGGCTGCCAAGTGAAAATGTGATATTAAAGCGGGGGGGGGGGGGATGCTGGAGAGGAGGACTACTAATCTAATTATTTTTTTTCATGGGGGGGGGGGGGGGGGGGAGTGAAGCGCCGTTTTAGCATGACTATCTTTTTAACTCTTACTTCCAGATAACCCTAAGTTTTTGGTTGCTGCTTTATATGTAGTTGATAATGCATGATTAAAGTAAAGAGAGAGAGAGAGAGAGAACCACCATAATTTTGCAATGGTTCAGGGTTTGTGTAATGTAAATTTGAAACCATTTCTTAGCGTCTCAACCCTAACTGAATTAAATAAAGAATAATAGCTTTATATTGCATCATACTAATACTGATACGGGCTAAAGACAATGTGGTATTTGTATAGAGGTATTCCAAAATGACATTCTGATAATCAACATTTGTTCTGGTATCATAATGTATATACGCATAATACAACTGATCTTTATGATTTCTTAACGTGACATACACTATAAATATGACGGACAAAGAAAACGGACAAAGTATACAGTTCCTCAGGTAGACAAAGGAACATCCCTTCACTGCTATTATGTAAAAATGTGTAGAACAGGTGTCACATGCATATTCACCTTTTTACATAATAGCAGTGAAGGAATGTTCCTTTGTCTACCTGAGGAACTGTATATTTTGTCCGCTTTCTTTGTCTGTCATGTTCATAGTGATAGCTTCTTTTCCCCCTGCAAACAAAAAAGAAAACAAGGTTATTTAATAAAAGGATCATGCGACAAATAATCATTGTGATTCAAATTGATGCAAGGATTTTTTTGAATAAGCAATGCTTTTCACCAGAATCTTCTTTGTAAAAACGACTTTTACAAATCTCAGCCATGCAAATCTGCCACTGTGTTGTAAGATCACTTTCAGATTAGGAGAAGTGTATTCTTTAATGAGTATTTTACATTGAATGGAACGTCTCAACTCAGTAAGCATGGCTGAGATTTGTAAAAGTTGTTTTTACAAAGAAGATTCGGGTGAATAGTAGTGCTTATTCAAACAAATATTCGCATCAATTTGAATCACAATCATTATTTGTCGCTTAATCCCTTTTAATGACCTTGTTTTCTTTCTCGTTTGCAAGGGGAGAAGAAGATATGTCACGTTAAAGACATCATAAAGATCAGTGTTGTATGCGTATTATATACAGGCCAGTAACAGCTATGTAGCTTGTAAATTTGTAAGAGGGAAAATGCTGATTGGAATGATAATGATGAAATAGCAAATAATTGAGGAGTATCATAGGTACCAATTCAATGGATATTTGTATAAAAAAGAGCCCCTGTCAGTACTAAAAGAGCCCCCGTGAGAAGGCTCACGGGGGCTCTTTTTGGGGGGGGGGGAAGAGCCCCCGTGGACAAAAAATTAATTTGAGCCCTGATCATCATCATCATCATCATCATCATCATCATTATCATCATCATCATCATCATCATCATCATCATCATTATAATTATTATCATCATCATCATCATCATCATCATCATCACCTTCATCATCGTGTCACCGCTGCCGCCACCACCACTATCACCACCAAAACAATAATCTTCTTCGTGATCAGCAGGATCATTGTCATCATCGTCAGCATCACCATTCTCCTCCCTTTCTTACTTCCATCATTTGATCATCATCTTCTTCTTATCACTATAATCATCATCTTCTTCTTATCACTATAATCATCATCTTCTTATCACTATAATCATCATCTTCTTATCACTATAATCATCATCTTCTTATCACTATAATCATCATCAACATCATCCCCAACTACCTCCTTTCCTCTTTCCCACACTCACCAGTGTCATAATCACGAACAGCAACATTTCAAATTGCATTTATAAAAATAAAAAAAATAAAATTACCCTCAGTTCTTCTCTCCTTTCTTTCAGTTACGTATAAATAGAGTTCATTATCAGTATCATCATCATCATCATCATCATTATCATCATCATTATTTTCAACATTATCTTCATCATCAATATCATCAAAACTATCGCCATCATCATCATCATCATCATAATCATCATCGCCATATTGTAGTCACCATCATCATCACCATCACCATCATCGACATCACCATCATCATCATCAACATCATCGCCGTCATCATCATCATCATCATCATCACTATCATCATCATCATCATCATCATCATCATCATCACTATCATCATTATCATCATTATCATCATCATTACAGTCATTATCATTACAGTGTTATTATCAGCAAGGTTATCGTCATCTATTCAAAAGACTTCATATCAAATATCACCAAGTATACAACGAAACATTAAAATACACATCGTATTCACAATAAATATTTAAAGTGTTTAACTTTATTCATTTATTCAGTCAACATAATTGTAAAAGTTATATTACACAAATCAAATAATTCAACTACTCAGCATGAGCATGCGTAGCTGTTACAAATTTTGGATGTACGACAAAATAAATACATTCATAACACTAACTAAAAAATCTTGCCAACATGTCGGCAATCCAAAAACAACGGTAATCATTATACAGGTATTTGTTAAACTTAACAATGGCCTCACCCTTAAATAGGGCCAATCCATTTTCTTATATCTTCTCGCAGCACCAAATAATAATATTTGCAAGGTGTTTGTTGTAATAAATAACGTGGAATGTGTCCAATAAGTTAATAGATAGAATATGGAATCATTGATATACATCTGCATGTTATAAAAACATTGTTGTCAGCATTTGTTTCAACCCGACTGCGAGACATGGACACTATTATATCGTCCACACCAACTTAAAATACACAAAATAGACAAATCGAATGGATAGAAATTGAGAAAAATAGAGGAATTTACGTAACAGCAAACAATGATCAGACGCATGAGAAGAGAAGGCAGCAATCGAAAGAAGTTAAACTGACGGCATTTCAAATAAACATGTTATTTGACAACATTTTCGGACAAGACAATGCGTAATCCTGCATTGATATTTGTCCCCAAATGCATATGTTGATAAATCTATACTTTGTACGCATCATTGACAGTCCTTATCGAACAGGTACAGTACAATAAATTTTCCGCTACAAAGACTTGCTGTATCTCTTCACTGCAGTATCTGGCAATATGGTAATCATCATTTTGATAAGTATTATTTGGATACCAAATTCATGTTATCACGAAAACAGTATGTATACATTGACGAAGAAAAAACAAATTCAAATACTTCTGTTAATGTTATTACAGCTTTCTCGTTCGGAAAACTACGCATTTTCACATGTACCTTTTCGGTGATATTTGATAAAACAATTGAAGGCATTTGCAGACATTACAGTTACGTATATTAATATGACGAAAAGTAGATTCAGATTATATCTATACTTGATTTTTTTTCTTTTAAAAAATATAGAGTTGACAATTATTCATTGAACAGACAATTTTGATTTACAGAAATGCTCAGATTGACAACAATTGATTTACAAAATTAGGCAGAACTTTTCAGATAACTTTTTTCTCCGTGAAATATAGATATCGACGCGTTATGATTGTGTCATCAGCGCGTCAAAGTGAAATTATCACTAAATAAGGCTCATAACTTTTCTTTTTACTAATTCTAAATCAAAGTAGGCCAAGGTATCGTGGCTAAAATAGGCACCGTGAATGCATAAGCACCCTCTGGTTAAAATCGACGCAAAAAAGGTTAATTTTGGCCGATTTTGCCAGACAGTCTTCTGGTCATTTTGCGTTTTGAAGGCTACTGTGGTTTTAAAAGGAAAATAAAGAGAGATAAACATTCTGATGGAATGTGCAAGTAAAATACTGAACTTAGTGAACAACAAGGCAGATTTAAGTGCTTCAAAATATACAGTGAACGGAGAAGTGACAAATTCTGAAATAGCACGAACAAAAATTAAAAAGAGGATAGTTGGGAAACTATGCTTAAAATCGAATTCAATTAAAAGTAGAGAAACCAAATAAATAAATAGAGAGAAATTCACTCACACCAGCAATAAATATCATATAATCATAAATAGTTAACAATACATTCTTGCACTAATCATTGAGTCCAACAGATGAAATAAAGTACAAACAAAAGAAATAAGTTACTATTGATTTTCTGACAGAAAATGGCAAGGGTTCGACAACATAATTAGGCAACATTCCAATCACAGACGAATACGATTGGAAAGTGAAATACCACTATGTCAACCGTTGGAATGTAAGCAAATGGGAAAAAATATGACAGAAATAAAGATTTATACATTTCCGGTGCGACAAAGGCAATTTCATTGCAGTAATCTCGTCTTATTGTGTGCAGCGAATTCGGTTGGAGGCGCGTTCTCCAACGGTTTCTTTGTCTGCGGTTTTCCGAGCACTCGCTGTACTGTTAACAAGCCAATATGTACCCGTAAGATTCGCATCGGCTCCGTTTTGTGTCCGCACTAGCTCGCGTAGACAAAGAAACAACCCACTGTACTTTCGGACTCTCCTTTCTCTCGTTTGGAGTGGGACATGTTCATTGGGCGGATTAGTGAGAGTGCAGAAGGAAATCTTGTCCGACCACCGACTATAAACATTTACGAACGACTGTGAATGTTTATGGGTACATCATAAGCATTTTCTGGGAGGATTTATGTCTTCCATGAAGAATTATTGCACCGTGGGAAATATAAACTATTTTATACCAATAGAGAGAGAGAGATTTCACTTAAACCAAGCAACCTAACTGAAGGAATTCACCATAAACGATGACCAATTTTACCAAACGTTTACAATGCTTTGGCAAAAATGCTGACTGGCTAAATTGCACATGAACAGGACAAGCATATATTAATGCAATAAGTAATATACAAACCTCTCCTTATTAAGATAAAACTCCCATTTAGAACTCGGTTTACATTAATTAAAAATAAACAATTACTTCTATACGGTAATTTCACGGTTCGGTTCTCAATATGAATGAATGAAGCGGGTACTGCTGAGAACAGAGACACCACCATATCATAATGAGCACGTACTGCATTATGTTTGATTAATTTTGATTAATAATTTACCTCCAACCCTTTAATATCCCACTTCAAATGTTCATTATTCTACTCATCATTGAAAGGTTAACGGACAAAATTAATAGCCTCTGTTATGAGACACATTTCTTAATGATTCGACAAACAGCATAATTAAAACATCATTACAACGTCGCGACGGGGTTACGCACAATCTGGTTGAGTTTTGTCGAACTGTATTACAACTATAACGGTTTGATATATTGGAATGTGTAAGAATATGGCAAGATTCTATGTAAGCTATGTCAAAACATGCATATGAACACAGTATCCCCTCCACCTGGTTCGCACACGCTTGAAAGTCTTCAATGAATTATAAACTATCGTCTACTTCAATGACAAGTTAATTTGAAACTTAACATTTTCATTCTTCCTAATTCCTAATGTACAAACATAAACGAAACTATAAAATAATTTATGCAAAACCGACCGATGGATTTCTTCAAAAATAAAGCTTGGCATATATTTTTCATCAAACGATATTGTGGATATAATACTTAGGGAATTATAACAAGACCATCTGTTTTCTATCCCTATACTATTTTACCATGCAGTAGAATGTTTAATTAAAGAAATTCCATGAGTCTTTGAATTGCAGTCTATTACACGGAGAGCATTCTTTCCTTTCTGTCACAAAAGCTAAACTCGACATGAACTCAGAAACAAGCCATATAATGATAAAGAATAAATAATATATTACTGTTGTTATCTAACAATGGAGAGAATAAATAATTTCGTGGAAATCGTGACTTTGAGTGGTAATAAAGCAATATAGAACCAAGTGCGTAATGGGCAAGTTGTGCAGTAATAAAATATTAGATTAATGTTTGTAAAACATGATGTAGGCACCATGCACATTCCCAATAATAGTTAACAATTCATAACACTCAATGATACAAAAATACATTTTAATGTCTGATGATAATCTCTTAAACACATTAACAGATGCCCATTCTCCGCCATTATAATTTTAGGGTAACTCTTTGTTTTGGTATTTTCTATTCATACTCTATATTGTCTTTTTGCTACTAATTTCTTTAGCGTTCCAATCACCCTTATCACAGTATGTGGTTGAGACTTACGTGCGAAGAGCGGGCATTTGTAGGAGAATCACCTGCCTGTTCTCCGATGGATGCATCTTGTTGATATGTCGGGTAAGACCTGGTGAGGTCGGGAAGATACTGGCGCAATACTTACAGGCGTACATCTCTCCTGGTAAGCCATGTTGTTGCATTTTCTCAAGACGGTCAAGGGCAACTCTCTGGTCATAGTTGTCTTCACAGTCTCGGTTGCTGGGTTTGGTTGCAGTGTTGCTGTTATTGTTGTTGCTGACGGCATGGGTCAGGACATGTTTGGCTCTGCTAGTCAGGCTGTTGAAAACACGTCCACAGTACTGGCAGGGAAAGGTTTCCTCTTCCCCATGTTGCTGCATGTGGCGACGGAGGTTGGCTGGTCGGCGGAACTTGCGGCCACACTGATCACAGTGGTAGAGCATGTCACCACCGTGACTCGTTTTGGTATCGTTGTTATTGTTGTTGTAGGTGCTACTGGGGCTAGGAGTGCTACGTGGGGTGTCCATGGATGTAGGGAACAGGTGGTGGAGGGGGCTCGGTGTGCTACCCCTGCTCATGCTCCCTTCGCTGCCACTGTCACCCTTCCTAGTGGTATCGGGAATATTGAGGACGGTGGTAGGGTAATGTTTGAGGGCTTCTTTGGCCCCACCTGCAGGTAGGATGCGAGGAGAGTTCGTTGGTGTAGATCTTTGACTGTTGCTGGTGTTGTTGACTGGTTTTGGTTTATGCCAACGACGATGTGAAGCCAAGTTCGCTGGGCAGTTAAAAACTTTGTCGCACTCTGGGCACCTGTACTCGACATGGACTATACAGGAACACTTATGTGATGCGAGAGAAAGTGGATCTGAGTAACTTTCTTTGCAAAGTTTGCACAAAAAGTCTCCTCCGAGTTTGGTTCCGTTCTGATCACTGGTCTTTCCAAGGGAGTTCGTCTTGCTGGTTATGTCGACTTCCTCTCTGATGATAGTACCATGGACAGGGGAACGGTTGTCCTCCTCGAAGGTTAATTTTCTGGCCGCTTTGGGTTTCTTAGCTCGATGTGGCTTGTGGTCCGAATCTGAGTTGGGTCGCTTGGTGCCCAGAACTGGAGGGGCACTCAGGGTCAGCTTGATGTTAGGAGTTACCGGAGAAGGCATGGAGGCTTTGTATCCCGTCGTGAAATAAGGGGTAAGAGGTATATGAGACGACGTGAGTGCAGGACCAGAGGCTTGAAGAACATTTGGGGATCGAACGGTTGCATCTCGGTCGAACTGGAATGCCAATGACGGGTCCTTGTGGCTGATGGGAGCTACTGGACTCTGACTGTAACCGGAATCAGGTGAATTGAAAGGTCGGATGTAAGCGTCTGTCAGATCACCATCAACAAAGCCAAGATCATCATACTCTTCGTCAGAAGTTCTCTGTCTGTACGTCACGCTGCCAGTTCTCTTGGTCCGTTTCACAAGAAAATTACGCGGCATATTGCAGACTTTGAGGTAAAATAGCACCAGTTGAAAGTGTGTAGTAGAGATAGAATGAGAGTACAGGTGTCTGCACGTAAAATACTCTGGACAAAAATAAATAATGCACACTATTGCAAAGGATGTTTCAGTTGCACTTGTAGGGTCTAGCAATCCGAAGCAGCTGTATTGCAGCAAAAACAATGAGAAAAGTCAGAGTGCAGCAACAGTGATTTGTGCTCTTGTCGAGCGAACCAAGCGTGATGTGAAAACACTTCCGTCTCCCGAGAAAGCTGCAAGGAAAGTGACAAGAGATGAGACATATAGCAGTTTAATATCAGATCGGTGAGATGTGCGATATTACACAGCACGAGACCAGACGGTAATAAGCTCGTTCCTGATTGGTCAAATGAAGTTCGCTGTTCGCCTGGTCGCGAGTCAGTCGTGTGCCGGTTCGTTAAGGCAGTGCTTGATGTGTGCGGTGAGAAAGTGTGTGTATGTGCCCTGTGTGCGTGTGTTCGCGAAGGTGATTTGAGAAGTCAACAGGCTGTAAATCGTTGAAACAACAAAGATCCCACATCACCACCACTCTTGACCACTTATGTAAATGTATTTTGTATGTCCAGCTGATTAGATACCCTTTCCTCTAAAATTAACACAAAAGAGATGATGTTGAACTACCGGATTCGTTAAAAAAAGTCTTCAATAAACCGATTTTGTTTTCTTCAGATGGGTCACTAGATGGGGGAGACGTGAAGCTATCTTGTTTTCGTTTCACATAGGTTAGTGAAAGTTTATGCATTATGCATGGCGCTCCATTGTGTGGTGCTCATATAGCATTGTGGGCCACCTTTCGGAACAATGCGACTTTATAGCCCAGTCGGCACGCGCCCTCCATTGTTTTCATATCTCAGACTCGGATTGTTTCGTCATCAGCTGCTAGGGCTCTCGGCTACCGGCGCGGAGAGCGACTAAAACTAATTACATCGTTGCAGTGGTTGTAATGGCATTCTCGTAGCTCAAATCCCCTCTCCATCTCTTCCCATCTCTCTTCCTCGAGCCGGTGATGATGAAGTGGCTTTGTTGTTTCGTGATGTCGCTCAGCTCTTAACTAGCCTGATTTTTTTTCCGGAATAAATTCACTTTCCCCAACTCTTTTAATGAATGCACTTAATAATGCTGTATTCACAAAGGTCGCGTGAAGACAAACTCATTCACCTGTATCTGTTTAAAAAATAAATATATCAGATTAAGTTAGTTGCTTCAAAACGAGCGGATATTTATCAATTGTTTTGCAATAAAGTCAGATTGCATTTTTGTCGATAACATCAAAATCACTTTTCGTCTATTTTTCAGCTTTCATGGTACCGTGCCCTCGCCTGTCAACATCTGATAGCAAGCAAACACACCCTGGTGGGATGCATTTTTTAAGATCTTGGTACTGCAGAGAACTTTGATGGTATTGTAAAATCCCAAACCCACCGGCCAATTAATCAATTGTTGGAACACACCGGGGAGTGGGGCAGGAGGGGTGGGGGTGGGGGGGGGGGGGGGGGTGGTGACGGCTTAGAATTAAAATATGGTAGGCATAAGTAATTTTTGGGGTAGTTGAATCCCTCAGTCCACAACCTCCCCCACTCTCTCTCTCTCCCTCCTTCTCCCTGTACCTCTCTCTTTTCTCTCCCTCCACTTTCCCACCCTCACCCTCACTCTCACTCTTTCACCCATCTCTTCCCCGTTTATCTCACTCCATTGGCTTTGTTTTCCTGCCCCTGTTCTTGTTTTTTCTCCCTTCTTAGCTTCTTCTGTGTAAAGCTATCTGGTCGCCTGCGTGCAGGTTGTATAGAGATGAAGCGGAGACCCGAGTCGTGATTGGTTCTTTGTTTGTTCGTATTACCCCCATCCGAACGGGGTAAACCCCGCTGTAGGAATGTTGTGTGTGATGGAGAAGGGGCTCCTTAGAGTCAGAGAGAGTGTGTGTGAGAAAGAGAGAGAGAGAGAGAGAGAGAGAGAGAGGAGAAAGAGAGAGAGAGAGAGAGAGAGAGAGAGAGAGCGAGAGAGAGAGAGAGAACCACTGGCCGGGCTGTAAACACGGGCTAGGATGGCGGCACGCGACCGGCGCGCGCCCCGCTTCATGTGACTGGTAGTGGGCTCTGATCCCTCTCCGAGTGTCGCTATCTCGTTGACTCCGAAAATTCCGATCCCAACTCGGAGAATGTGTCCGAATCACCTTAAAACAATGAACATGGAATGAAAAACAAATAACGAACAGGAAAATTGTCCTAAACTTAACCATTGATATGTCACTTGGTGACTTATGAGAATTTTAAACGGGATTTGTGTGTCAATGACCTATGTTTTTCATCAAAAAAATGTTATACATTGATAATTGCTAGAGGGTGAGATGAAAGTGGTGTAAGCTTAGGCCGTATTTCATTTTCGGCAAACCAAGTTAATGAATTTAACAAGAAAAAAAAATGAATAAAACACCCTTGGAAATGGGTTTATATTATTTCCTAAATGCGCTGAGAAGCTATCATGTTATCAAACGCAATCTTAATTACTTAGTTGAACTTTCTACCAGAAAAAACGTTGTAAATGACTTCATGCAACCCAATCTATATGGAACTGTATTTTTAATCTTTAAATTTAAAAACGTGTTGCAATATATTGCTTTTACTTATTTTACATGAAATATACTATTAATTTAATTTTAGTTTCTACCAGAAAAAAACGTTGTAAATGACTTCATGCAACCCAATCTATATGGAACTGTATTTTTAATCTTTAAATTTAAAAACGTGTTGCAATATATTGCTTTTACTTATTTTACATGAAATATACTATTAATTTAATTTTAGTGCTTTACCGATAATGTCGCTTTATGTGTTCTTAACAATATATATATTTCTCTATTTTATGTTCAATATTTTATCGAACAAAGCACAATATTTATACAAATTATATTTATCTACACATGTATTTTTATTTATTTTTTCTGGGGGAGGGAGAGGCATTTTTTTAAAATCCAGTTCAGTTTAATACCACTCCCAGACAAACAGTCGTGATATACATATATTTTTCGGTACAATTTGTGAGCACTTCATAATTATCATATGCTGGGGTAGCCAAATCATGAACATATTGACGAACAGTACAGCGGACAATATTCAACCAATCAAGCCACTTTTTCCTTGAGCAATAACCACTAAGCTCGACAATCTGATGAATACACGCCCCAACCGCACCGGCATTCCGACTCCTTCTTGCACCCCTTCTACCACTACCACCACCCCACCACCACCACCACCACTAGCATTACCCCTACCGATACCCCCACCCTCATTCCCTGGATGGTATAATAAGGGGTTGGCTTGGCCGACTTACATCCCTCTAGGCCTACGCAGCTGCACCGGACAAAGCCCTTTGTGAATTCCTGTCAAGGTTTTACACGACCATTCATTACTCCTCTTATTTTCTCCATTTTTGATTAATCATCTGCATATTTTGGGGCGAGATCCTTTCCCTTGTCTTTGGGCAAACGAGAGATGAATGTTCCAGCCCCAAAACTACAATAAAAAGATGCTATTGCAAGAGACATTAAAATTGTTTGACGGAAGAAATTATGACTATTGTTATTTAGGTATACGACAAAATATGATATTTGATTGGGTAATTAAAAGCAATCAACCAATAAGTCGATGGTGAATTACGGGATTTTATTAAGTTAAAAGAAAAAAAAAACGAATGAAAGCTCCGACAAAAACCAAGGGTTTATTTAACAATCAGAGCAAATCTATTATACAACCACAAGGTTAACGATGGGTATAATGGTATTTCTTTAGAAAACAATTTTGTATATTTTCAAGGCAATTTGTGGGCAACCATCAAGATCTAATCAGTGTTATGGTAAATCAAAGGTTGGCAGCGATATTGATTTTCATCTCAATTAAAATCCAAACGGGAATGGAAATGCTTACAAATTGGTTATACTCCCTCTGGATGGAAATTGTTAAGAAATGAATTATGATTTGATCTCAAGATCTCTCTTTTTTTCTTTGTACATAGAATTACTTTCTGATTGAAAATGCCAAATTTTTCTTTGTTATTGAAAACAGAAATCAATTTGACTTTCTGACTCGTGTTAAAACATACGAAATAACGATTGCTAAGTGGATTATTTGGTTTTGCGGGTTACTTTATGAAAGGAAATCTTATGGTTAAGATAATATCAAGGAATGTGGTAAAAAGACCTCTGAGTATTTCACAACAAGCAGGGTCTTTAATTAACAAGGCACATGTTTGTTTCATCTATTACTCTCTCTCTCTCTCTCCTCTTCTCTCTCTCTCTCTCTCCTTCTCTCTTTCTCTCTTTCTCACACACACACACACACACGCACACACACACACATTCTATCTCTCTCTCTCTCTCTCTTTCTCTCTCTCCCTCCCCTCTCCCTCCCTCTCTCCCTCCCTCTCTCCTTCTTCGTAAAAGAACTGAAAGTTTAACGTTCAATTTAAATGAAATTTTGAAGAAAACAAAGAGGGCTTTATGAATAGGGGGTCTTATGGTGAGTATACACTGGCATTACTTCATTTCTTACATTTTCATAACGACTACAATCATATGATATTGATGAGTTGGTTGTAATTAATCAGAGGATAACGGGCAACGCGAGCTGGTAATTTCTTGGCAATAAATCTTGGTGGCGACGCTTTCTTTTAATAATGTGAATTCCCATGGAAATAGTCTGACTTCGCGTGGTTAATAATACTTGCTCCATCATAATGCGTGTGAGAATCGAGCTTGATGCGGGTACAGGCATCTGGTAAAGGTATGTTGGAAGGTTTGACCACTAAATAAACATTGAAGAAACATTGACAATAAGCAATTATCACTTTAAGCGTGTATATTGTCATTTGAAAAAAAATGGAGCTAAACATTAACTTCAAAGGATTCCCGATATTTGAAAAGTTAATCATAGAATCAATGAAACAAATCAAATTAACAAAAATGGCATCCAATTCGAAACGCCGAACGGGCTCTTAGAAATATCAAAATTCGTTTGCCTTTCTATCATGTATAAGTCATCTATTCTTGAAGAATAACTCCAAAGTTTTGTCGACAAACATAACTTTTTTGTTATAACTCAGGAAGATGTTACTAACCAATTATATGTAATTGCGATAGTTATCACCGATTATTAACATAATTTTTGTAATGACATTATTTACAAATATTTCAGATACGCATGTACATGTAGATCACTTTGAACATAATAAACAGAACAAACATAGTGATTTACTTTTATGATTTCCTTGATCT